GAAGGAACTGCCAATATATGGGTTAGGGCTCGGCAGGCATTTATGCTTTATTCCTCCCTTGAAACAACCTGCTACTCCAATATCTTTTATTAGTTTCATTTTTTTACATAGCCGGCCGGCCTTTTTTCATGTATTACTTTGCAATAAAGGATGTTTTGATTGATTTTTAAAATGTGTGCATTTTGCAAATGTAAATATAAATCTACACGTGATTATATTATTAACTGAAATCTTTTATGACTACTTGATGGCACATGATCGATTGACTAATATGGTCACTGATCAATTTGTGCGACAATTAACGTTAATAGTATAAATTACATAAGGTGACAATCGATTTCTCGCAAGAAAAAAATTTTCTCTACTACTGTAGTTAATTATGTCCTTTACCGTAAATTACCTTGATAAGGTGAGCTTCAATAAATAGTAATAAGTTTTAAATATTTGTTTGATCCTCCGGATTTCACCTGAAAATAATATATATATAGTTTGAAGGTTGGGAAAGTGCTTTGGATCCAAACTCACTCAGCCTTCTTGAAATACTGGAATTTCGTAGAACAAAAAAGGATTTCTCTTTCGATAAGTGGACCGAGCACTTCACGATTTCCAAGTTCGTGTCCTATGTTGCGAAAAACACGACAAACGAAAAATGGAAGATAGTTTTTTCCGTCCTTGATGATAAAATGCTAAAGGCCAGTATCTGTTTATATTGCGCTTAAGAGAAAGACGAAGTGGCGAGGGGATAGAGAAGGAGTTGGGCTACGTGCCAAAAACAACCATCTAAGCAACCCAGCTACGTGCCGGGTTTGGGAATGGAGTAATATCTCTTGATGGGCTTCATCTTAAATCTGCGTGAAGGCCAGAGGCTTATACGCCACAGTGCTAAGAACTAATACGTTCATTCGCAGTCCCTGGTGACCGGCTTTATCACTTCAGACTTTTGAGATTGTGTGAATTTAACCATTCTCTCTCACTTCTATAGACTCAAGCACAGGGTGAAGATGTGAAGTCGTTTTGGAGGAAGATTGAAACCGAAAAAATAGAGTCATAAAATAATTTATTGGAGGCGAAGATAAAACAAGCTGAAGTATGTGCCCAGCATTAATCTGATCGATATACAAGTATATAATTTGTGTTTTTTATGATTTGCAGGTTCAATTTTCTGTTGATCGCACTTTGACGGGGAATGAGGCTCATAGAATTATCGACCAGAAAAAAATAGATTATGTTTTGAGCTCAAATAAAAATAGTATCGGAGAAGACAAGGTAGTTGTATTTTTCCACAGCTTTAGTATATTAGCCTGCAATAAAAGTTCACTCTCACCTCTCGCATGTACACAGATAAGAACCGTTACATTAGAAGAAGAAGAGTCCTCCACTAAGGGAAAAATGGATATGTCACTTGGACATAAGCGACCATACGATGAAGAATTACCATCAACTTCATCAAAAAAGGTTAGGACTCAGAATATAACTTAATTATTAGCCCGCAAGTTCTTCATCTCGTCTTTTTGCATACAGATCAGTTCTTATGAAAACGAAGAGTTAGCTGAAGAAGATATCACTCAAGAGGATGTGTTGAATTCTATTGCTGAAGTTTCTGATGTCTTCGGGAAAACTAAATTCCCAACATACTATAACAAACTAAAGTCTATCTGGCATAATCGGGATGCTGAGACGAATTATTATGTTATTGATCTAGGAGATGAGGAAATACTAAATCAGGTTCACGGTCTTTTGAGCGATAATGAATTGAATTTTTTGTTTGAGAGGTTAAGATTAACAGATGAGGATGAATGTCTGAGTACGGAGGCGTGTAGATATATGACACTGTTTGATAAGATGATTGAGGAAGAGAGTTGTAATGACGGTAAGATAGAAGATGAGGAAAATTACACGACTGGTGAAAGAAACTGCGAAGAGCTTGAGAGAAAAGTCCATCAATTAGACAGTCTACCCAAAAAATTTCATTATCTATCTAACACCTTGCCTATCCCGGCGGAGAGTTATGATCAATCAGAAACGCCTGATGTTTTTGTTATCAAGAGCGTCTCTTGTCATATTGATACGATCACGAAAATGAATGGATTAATGAAGAGTACTCCCGAGCGTACATGGACAGCCCATGTATTGGCGTATATATTTTTCGTTACATTTTGTTTCATCGATTCATTGCAGTATTTCTCGTGTGAACGAGATATTTCTACCAAGATCGATGCTCAAGATGATAGGTATAAAGCCGATGGTGTTTTAGAATTGTTTGAGCGACCAAGGCAGATACCATTATTTTTGCTCGAAGTGTCAGAAGGTCCCAATAATCCAGACCCAGATAAAATCAAAGGAGATAGAACGAAGCTGATGAACGAGGGTGTTTTTGCCCTTAACAAGTTTATGATTAGCACTGAGTTACCGGAATGGAAAGTGTGTGAGGCATTGGGTGTTTTCCTGGCCCAGGGATTTGGTAAAATTTTTGATCCTGTTGGTGTTTCTGTTTCTTTGCTTCGAATCTAATATATTTCTTGTTTGTTTGCTTGTAGCCGATAAAGTTGAAATCGGACAAATAATATTTATTGGGCCTGGTCTGTATCTTTTCTCGCCATTTACAGTTCCAGCTCTCACAATTCCAACTTCAAACACCAACCTAAAACATGCACCTCGACTCATCCGAACTCTCTTGTGTTACGATACAATACTATCGAAAAAATTGAGAAGTTTAACGAACTTGAAAAGGAAGGTCAGCAACGTATTGTGAAACCTATAACAAAGTATGCAACTGGAGTTACACCAGGACGATCTAGAGTTGTTACGTTTTCACAATTCCTACCAAAAATTTCAAGAGAGAATAGTAAAGTGAGTAGAGGGAGGGGGAGAGGAAGAGGGAGAGGAAGAGGGAAAGATTAGTGTATTAGTAAAATTTTCAGTAATTCGCGATTTAAATTACATTAAGCATTGAAATTGAAGCAAGTGGTTTGTGCAATTAATAGTTTTTCGTAGTATATCTTTTTGTATTTTTTTCACACCATATTTGTAATAAACCATAAATAAAAAAATTTGCATTACACAGTGTACTGTCCGTTAAGTGTGAGTAGTCTTCAGAATCGGGTTTAACCAACATGATGCAAGGAGTTAAAACCCAGTCTTGATAAGGAAGAGGCTCGTACTCTTGTTAAAGATGAGGTTAGGAAACAAACCCTCGAAACAAAATTTTCTGATGAAGCTTTACGAAAGAGGGAAAGGGGCGAGAAGCTCCATAAGCTTTTTAGTGGCATTAGTAAATTGAAAATAGGACGAATTAAATCTCTGATAGTAATGTTGATCGTGTAATAGCTGGAGGGTTTGAGAGTTAGATCATTACTGCGTCACATTACTACTGCGCCCGGACACGCTTTTCATTTTTGCATAAATTAAATTAATTTACAATGCATATGAATAAAAAAATTTCTAATATAAATAACCTGGGACGATTTTCTTATCTCCAGATTGATTTGAAAATCTTGTGACTTAAATTTCAGCTGGGGGCCCTGCTAAAATCATTCTAAAATTTTTTTTTTATCTTTCATCTCGCAGTTCGAAGAACAATTTGATGAGAGCTTATATGCGTGTCCATCAGAAAAATATAGGTTCGGGAGATAAATTTAACCGGATGCTGATCCTGGTTCTGCTCGGACTCTACCATCAGAAAAAATCCGAAATCTGATTGGCCGGTCATCTGTGATGTATGGAAACTCGCCAGCGCCTGGAACTCGCCTAGAACTATCGAGGAACTGGCAGGGAGCTAGGGTGATACATGTGATATGATATACGTCGTACCACAAACCGATTTAGCCAGGCGCCGTGCATATGCATGTAAATATAAAATTAGATCCCCTATATATAAATATAAATTTCCCGATATGCTTGTAATCGAATAAAAATGAATCTAATATTTATTATAGTATACTTGTTACAAACTGCTATAAATCACTATAAATCACTAAAAACGATACAAATAACTAAAAACACTATTTATCGCTTAAACATTTATAAAGATGGATTTAGATAGTAATGCTTACTATAAGCTTTGTTCGTCTGATCGTGATGATAGATATAATAAGATAATAAAAGCAATACACCTTTTACAACATAAATATGATAATGAAACACCAGAAATGTGGTGCTCTCGTATCCGTAGTCCATTTAGAAAAATACTTGAAGAGAACCCAGAAATATTTTCTAAGAATGGATATATTCGCATGTATGCAAAGTTT